TTTTTTTTCACAAATGGGACTACTTTCGCTACAGAGCGTTTGCACATACACGGGAAGATATATATATATATTATATGCACGTGTATCCTTTTTTTTTTCCAGGGCATTATTGGAAGCCTTTGTCATTTGCTCACTAGAACAACAAAAAACTGGTTTTACATTTTTGCTCTCTTCTGCCCTTGTGTTCCTTTGGCCTCGATTCCTAAATGGAATAACGCACATGTGTGTTTACATGTACGTAGGCATATCTTTCAATTACGTATATGTATACACTCACATGTTTGTGCTGGAGGGCTTGCATCAAATAATACAGGGAAATTTCTTTGTCTTGCGTACTTCAAGTGCTTTGGGGGTTATTTTTTTTCAAAGGGAAATCACATCACTGTTTGTTTGTTTGTTTGTTTGTTTTTTTACAATTCCTTGCTTGTCGAAAAAGGAGAACTTATGCGCGCATAATGTAAGGACTTCCATTTGCAAAGGGACGTACAGCACACCAATTTGACGCATGGCTATTATATTTGTGCGGCAAAGTTAAACTCGGTGCTCCGTGGCAGTACGCATATGCATATATATCTGTGCATACATATTCATACGACCGCATGTGCATGTGTGTATAGCAACTGTTCGCACATTCTTCGTTACATGCGCGTGAGGTAAACACGCGGGAATTAATTGTGACGTGCCGCGGTGTAATTATCCAGGTGGACAACTTAGCTTGGGGATTACCTTGGTTCAAAAAAATGGCATAATCATGCGGTGGAAAAAAAAAAAACAAAAAAGGGAGGGAGCAAAAAGAAGGATGCAGTTAAATGTGGGGACAAGAAAGAAGGCATACATGCCTTTTCAGCAGTACGCTTTTTCTACATCCCTTCCGTTTTTCCTTCCCCATTTGATTTATCAGCAAAGTGAAAAGTCGTTTGTAGCACGCTCTGGGCAGGGGGTTATTTCATTACTTCTAAAATGTAGTACGGGAGATCTTGATAATGTGGAGGCATGTATACTTTCTTATCACAGAACAACGAATGGGTCATATGAGCAGGTTGCGCGATCATAATAGAGAATTTTGCGCGATCATAATGGAACATTTTGCACTATCATAATGGAACATTTTGCACGATCATAATGGAGCAGTTTTGCGCAAACAGACTAACACGAGTTTTGACAATCAGTGTGCAATTTTTTTGCTAAGGGTTGTCTGTCAAGCTTAAGGAAATCGTTATAAAAGTTGCCAGGGACTGTTGCACTATATTGTTTTTTTTTTGCCCCTTTCTATTATGCGCTGCTTAGCCAATTCTGCAAGTTCTACATAATAACTCCTGTTTAAGTTTAAAAAATGTTATACGTATCTGCACGAATGTATGCTTACGTGCGCAGGGGCAAAAACACAATGCTGGTGGAGGTCAAAAGTTTGCCCCCATTTGTGCGTAACGTTCGCGGCATAGATGCGTGCGCTAATTTTTTTTTTAAAGCGTAAAAATACAACAGTTAACTTCTGCAATTTAAATTTGCTGCGTTAATTCGTTCCGCACGTATGTATTTTTTTTTTAAATGAGAGAATAACTTTAAAGAGGGGAAAAAATTGCAATTTTCCGTGACCACATGGTGGGGCGTCGCCCATTTTCCACTTAAATGGGATGGTGTCACATATACAATAAAATACTGCGTAGGCAATATATAAATAATACACGCATAACACGATACTTATTAAAAGATCGTGAAGGCGTTGTGGTATATGCCATTTCCGTAATATAGTGCGATGCCGAATGCGCACCGTTTTTTTTTTCTTGTATTTTTATCATACGGGTATAACGCATATAATAAGCCTCTAATGTTATCCCTTGAACGCTGCTTTATTTCTGCTTATTGGGAATATGTCCCCCGAATGTAACATTGGTTTTTGCACCTGTTTCCTTTTTCACATATAAAAGAAATTTAAGGCGCCAAGAATATAATAAAGCGTTTTAAGATGAGGAATTGTATGCATTTTTTTTTATTTACCCTTTAAAAGGCGAATTTTTCGGATTATAAGAAAGGGATAACAAATCAGTATGCGCAATTTTCGAGTCCTCTCTTCGTATAAAAATAATTAACTGTACACAAAGCGTTTTCTGAATCCATTGCTTTTTTTTTTGTTCGCACGAAATGGCACATAAAACGATGCGCATATATAAGGATACCAAATAAAATACGAGCCTGCCACGAGAATGCAAAAAAAAAAAAAAAAAAGCTTTTCTCTCTTTCACTTTATATATAATGAAAAAAAAGGAAGTAAACAAATATAAAAAACAAGCGCAAAAATATATACCATCATATATCATAATATGAACCACGTAATAAAATTGTATACGTTGTAGGTATTATGCAATGGCTATCATTAAAAGCAAAACTAACCACAACAATCAGCAACAAGCACTCTTTATCTTCATGTAAAATAAAAAAAATATTTTTATAAAAATCCCCAAAAAAGGGAACGTCAACATTGTAGAAAAGAAAATTACCATGTTATATTAAACATCAAAACGTCAATAAAAAGAATCCCCTATATAAACACAAAAGCCGAAAACGCTTTTTTGTTTTTCCAAAATATTACATCTGACGCGGAGTAAGTTCTGCTGTAAACAAACAAAAATCAAATCGCAAAAACTGAAAGGAGAATTAACAAAAAAAAAAATCACATAAGAATCTCCAAAACGCAGATATATCTTAAGAAAAGGCCAAAACAAAATAACATCCAAGTTGAAAACCCGCAAACTCTTACATAAAACAGCCCCTTTTTGTTTTTTCCCTTTTCTCTTCATTTAGTGATATATACATTAGCAAAATTTTGTATACATAAAGAAACTGTATACATATATATGTACGTATGCAACTTTTACATTTCATGTTTCATTTCGCTTTGCCAAAACTTTTTGAAAATGTTCGCGTTTAACAATGCAAAGAGGAAAACGCTACTTTTTGTTTTTTCCCAAGTAAAAAATAAAAAGTAGTAGAGTAAGCATGACGAACGGAACATAACGCATCCATACCTTTTACTATAATATTACATGTACATTTCGTATATGTACGCTGCACCTCCACTAAAGAAAATAAAAAATGAGTGAACTGTTTATATGATGATGTTATCGCAATACGCATTTTATTTTACATTTTTTTTTTTTTTATTGAAAGCAAAGGTGTAGTAGAAATTATGAGAACGAAATGCCTTCACAAAAAGTACATTAATCTACGTATTTGTTCATACATCCATATAGCACATACATTTTTTTTTCTTTCTTTTGCACTTATTTAGAATGCAAATTTGTAGTCTCTATGAGTCCTCCATGTGTACAGTACGTCCGGCCGCGTATGTGTACAATACTTAAAGCAGTCTATGAGTTCAGCATGAATTTCTTGTCCGCATAGGAAGCCTCTATTCACCACGTACTCATCACATCACGCATCGAATACACATCACATACACGCCAGACACACATCGCGTACGCATCCCACGTGTTAGCTGCAAACCCGTTTATAATGAGCCCTGGTGTAGTACCCACGCGCAGTATGCACTGTACCTCCCTTTGCTTAGCACGTACTGATAAGCAAACCCACAGCACGTATTCGCAATACACATTTGTATAGCACATTGTTACAACGTCTGTATGTTACGTACGCACATATTTCTCCCTTTGTACGTGTTTACGCCCAACGCAATACGCCTAGCAAGCACATACCATAGAACTCACAGAACGTTTGTTCAGTACGTATGCACACTTGCACGCCATCTGCACTTGTGATTTTGCATCGGATTGAACGCATTTGTGTCCTCAATTCCATAGTCTGTACGTCGAGCACGCACACCTGAATTGCACCTCTACCATAAAGCTTCATTAAAAAAAAAAAAAAGAAAAAATGATAGGAACAAAGAATGAAGTCAACAATAATGATAGGCGTAAAAGAAAGTTCGTTGAAGAGAATAAGAACCATTTTCACAATAAATATAATAGACCAAATAAAAGAAACGACATTGGAAATAACGGAAAGAGAAAGGGAGGAGGAGGAGGAGTACAAGAAGGAGGAGGCGGGGGAGTAACCCCGTTTTACAATGAAAATAGCAAATACATATTTGAAGGAAGTGTGAAAATAAAGAAAAAGAGTAACCACATTTTTTACAACAAGGCCCAGGTGTTTAATCGTGACATGAGCATTATTCTGATAAAAGCGTTAGAAATATATTTAAAAAATAAAAATAAGGACAACGGAAAAATACAGTTCAGAGGATTTAACGTCGTGGAGTTGTTAAGTGCAAGCGGAATAAGAAGCATAAGGTATGTGAAGGAATTACGAGAAACTATAAATCACATCATTGCAAATGATATTGACAAATATGCATGTAAACAGATAAGGAGAAACTTTAAAAGAAATCAGATTAATAAGGAGAAGTATACAATTCTATGTAATGATGCAAATAGCGTTATGAACATCCTTAATGTGGACAACATTTATTCGAAGAAGAGAAACACGAAAAAATTAGACGTTGGTTTTACCTACATCAACAACATCACGGATTATAACGACTACTTTAAGGAAGCTTTGAAATTTTTAAAATATATAACGAATTACAATAGAGGCAGAGGAAACAACGAGGTTAAGGAAGGCATCAGTATTGATAACCCCTCGCATCATAATAATGGTATTAAAAATGGTAACAACTGTAGGTGTAACATAGCCACGAAAAATAAACCTATTGAGGATCACCATAATTTAGAGGATAGTGACTCCACTGGCTTCTCGAGCAATGTGGAGGACTTCACCAAAATTGATATGCTGGACGAGGAGCAGAACGAAACGGTGTACGCCGAAAGGTCAAGCAAAGCAGAAGCGGAGAGTAAACCCTTGAAGGGGGCAGCGAACGGTGTAGCAAACGGAGGATCAAACGGTGTAGCAAACGGAGGATCAAACGGTGTGGCAAACGGAGGAGCAAACGGTGTGGCAAACGGAGGAGCAAACGGTGTAGCAAACGGAGGAACAAACCACAGAGAGACAAACCCGTTCGGGGCCACGCAAAACGGAGCTGAGAAAATCCCCCTCAGAGAAAGCATGATGGATGAAATTATCCAAAGGTGCAAACTGACCGAAAAGTACATGTTCGATATAATCGACATAGACCCATACGGATCGTCCATAGAGTACCTGGAAAGCTGCCTAAAATATGGAAGAAGCAATTTCTTCATATTAATAACAAATACAGACATGAGAGTATTGAATGGAAAATTCCCGGACGTTTCTTTTTACAAATATAACAGCATGATATTTAGCAAGAGAGTCCATTACAATAAGGAGTATAGCATAAGAGTGCTGTTTTACAAAATAAAAACGATTGCCTCCAAGTATAAGAAGTGCGTTATTCCATTTTCGTCTCTTAACATTGACTTTTACATTCGCATATTAGTACAAGTCTTGGATGATGCGTTACAGACAAAGGACCTCTGCACCGATAGTGGGATGGTTTATCAGTGCAACAATTGTTCCAGCTTTTATATCAACCCCTTGGCATTGAAAAAGGATAGGAATATGTCAGTAGCAGATAATAAGAAGCACTACAAGAGGTGGAAACAGAAGAAGCATAAGGATGGGGCATTTTTAAACACCGGGGAGGAGAAAAAGGAAGAAGAGAAGAGGGAAAAGGAGGATGTGCACGGCGCAGAAGATATTCCAGATGCACAGTTAGACCATATGTATGATTCTAATAAGCATGCTCATGAAAAGGAAAAAGTCACAGGTAGAGACTTCGCGGACGACGCGACTGATGGGGATACGGCGGAGAATGTGGAGGAAGAGAATAATACGGCTGATAAGGTACCATATGATAACTTGCTAGAGAATGAAGATAATTTTGAACGACTAACCAATGGCGAGGAGGGGGGCAATATGGAAAATACTATGCATAGCGCGCACACACAAAATGCGGGAGATGTGGCTGGCAGCACGCCCCGTAACGCAACGGCTGACGCGACAGCAGGGCCATCTCCAAAGGGCCGACAAACGCAGAGCAATCCCGCCATAGGGAATAAATACAGAAGCGGAAAATTGACCATTTCCAACAAGTGTGTAGAGTGCGGAGGAGAAATACTGATAGGTGGCCCCATCTATATCGGAAAGTTGCACAATGTTGAATTTATCCACACGTGTATCTCGTTACTGGAAAACTTACAAGACTATAATTTAAACACCATCACATCGAGGGATAGAATCTTAATAAATTTTCGATGTCTAAAGCAGGAAATAAATATTCCATTGTATTATAATTTGCCAGACCTATTTAGAAATTTTAGACTGTGCTCCATCTCTAGAAAGCTGTTCGTGAATGCACTACTAAATTTGAATTATGAAGTTTCGTATTTTCACAAGGATCCAGATAGTGTGAAGACAAATGCTCCTAACAATGTGTTTATGGACATTTTTCGTGCCATTATTTATAAAGTAAATTCCAAAAAGAGGAATTCCAATGGTGTGGAAACGAAGACGGAGGAATTGAACCCACTCAGCAGTAAGAACAACCAAGCCACGGAAGGGAGGCCCAAAAAAGTATATTCCATAAATACCATAAAGGATCATAAGTTGAGGGAGAAATTATTGTCGTATGAATTTTTTAAAAAAAATTCGACCATTGACAATATCGATATTTCTGTCAGTAATAAAGAGAATACTGATCATGTGAAATTGTTCACCCTGCTGAACCCTGAGCCTTTTTGGGGCCCCATGAAGAAGCACTATGAGAAGAACTGAGACTTTGGCGGAGTTGTTTCCATTTTTTGTAGACTCGCATTTTGCAACGTTCAAGTTTCGCATCCCCCCACTCCCCTCGTCTTTTTCGCAACACCGCTGTTTTGCAGCGCCTCCACTTAGCAAAGCAGCCGTTTCGCAGCTCCCTGCTTTGCAAGGCGCCCCTATGATGTCGTGCGTCTATTTTGCGGCGCGCCCAGATTGTTGTGTGTCCATTGCGCAGTATGCTCCTTTTGTAGTGGCACGCCTGTTTTGTAACACCCCGTTTGTTCTGTATTATCTGGTCTTTTTTGTATTATCTCGCCTGTTTCGTAGCCTGTCCCTTTCAAAATGTAGGGTATTCGTATTGTCCCTCAACAATTTGCCGTATTTCAACGCAATCCAGTACACTTTTTTTTATTTTGCTGTGAATTTTCTTCCTTTTTTCTTACAAAACGGGGTGTGTTTGATTGTACGGTTTGAATTTAGAATCTGTATATAATCATTTTTAAATATCTTATTATACATTTCAAAAATGTCTACATGTATTCTTGAATATATTTACATGTATTTTTGAATATGTTTACATAGATTTTTTAATATGTTTACTACATTTTTGAATAAGTTTTGTTTGTATCTTTAGATATGTTTCCTATATATATTTTGTTTAATATTTGAAATTATGCAAAAATCTGTGTATAAAAGCATCACTCTTTAGTAACCCCAACAAAATTATTTATATGTTTCTCCTCTCCACCACTGTTTTATGAATCCTACATGTATTGTATATATATACGTGTTGTTTGTGTGTATATAGAGTATATACATGTATATAAAACAAAATCTCTGTTTTAACAAAAACACACTATATTAGTGACTGCTTAATACCTTATAAGAAATTTCTCACACGCGGGAATGGCGCCCTCTGTCCGGTTAAGATAATAAAACGACTTTTTTAGCACACTGAAAGGTGCACACACGCCGTGCGTAAAAATTTGGGGCACAATGATTGGCATTGGTGGAGTATGAGAAGGAGCCCACCTAAAAAGGCGCGAAAATTGCACACAAAATTGGAAGAATTGGATACAAACATACTTATTTTCACACAGTGAAGGAAGAAGTGTATCGCTAGCGCACCGTTACCCTTTGTCCGCTTCCCCGTGTGGAATCTTCAAAATAGGGCTGAAATGCCCCCGGAGCACGTCCAACTAAAAAGAACCCCACGAGGTGACCCAACGATGGGGCGCGCTAGAAGCACCGGCACCTGGGTTGCCATCTAAATCTTCCAAATGGCAGCGGAGAAATGTTTTGCTCTCTTTTGTGTTTCTCTGTTTTACCAACCTTAGGGGGTCCACAAAATAGCACAAGATGATGTACCACAATATAACACCCGGTTAACAAAGGCAAAAAAAAAAGTCTTCCTAATTTATTTCCTGCCTACGATTGAGGGGGGGGAGATCCCCGTAGATGCACTTTAGACTGTGCGTGTGCAAATTTGAAGAAGGAACACGCGTGTGCACGGTTTTGTGTAGAAAGTGAAAATTTTGGCAGTATAGGGAAAAGAAGCATTAAACAGGGAAAACAAGCTCCTATATTCTCCCATCTGCCTATCCACTTTGCCACTAACCCGCTAACCTGCTAACCTGCCGACTTGCTTAACGCGAGGACAAACTTGAGCGCAAAATGGCTCAGTCTCACGTCGAAATTGCCAAGCAGCTGAAGCACAACTCGGAAGAGATAAAGGAATACTTTGAGGACCTGTACGCCTGGCAAAGCGAAGTTAGCAAAGAGGTAGGAAGGAGTAGTGGGAAGGAGAAACCTTCCTCAGTAAGAAATGGCTCTGCCACGGGAAGCAACGGGATTGCCGCTAAACCGGAGAGGAAGAAGGGAGAAGATGGACAAGGAGGGCAACCCCATGGGAAAGCTCAACAGACTGTAAAACCCCAGGGTGACAACATTCACGGGGGAACAAAGTGGAGAAGAAATAATGATGCCCTAAAGAGAGACCAAAACTCGCTGGAGAGCTACTACAATGCGTGGGACAAACTAAAGATAGACGATTTTGATAATAACGAAGAGGGGTCAGCTGTCCATCGTGGAGGCGGCAGTGGGGCAGCACCGGAGGAAACGGAAAGGGGAAGACATTCTGAGGGGGCACTTCATAGAGAGAGTAAAATGCACGAATTAGCCCCTACTGCTAAGACGGAAAGAAGAAAAAACACCAACATCTGTAACAGTAGGGGCGGCAAAGTGCAAACAGAAGGTGAGATAACTGGAAGTACCAATTGTGTCCTCAACACACGAAACGAAGAAGACCGGTTAGTGAATCTCCGATCCAAAGTGCACGACATGTATCTGTCCAAAAACGAAGAAGGAAAAATAAACTACCAAAACAAAAGGTACAATAAATGCCTAGAAAATTACAATGACCTAATTAACTACATTGACTTCGAACTAAGCAACAATAATATATTTTTACAGATCGATCAAAATTTAGATAATGACTTATACCTAGATGTACTCTCCCAAAAGAGGCAAATTTTTCTGAACAAAAATATTGAACAGTTAAGCATTCTTAGGACTAAAGTTCTCGTAAACAGATCATTAGTGTATCAGAGGCTGTCTTCCTATTTTGAAAGCATCAATGATTGTTCTTCCATAATTTTATTTTACAATTATTTTTTGCCTGAGCATAAAAATTGTACTACCTACTGCATAGGTAAAAATTCCCTCGCGTTGAATATTAAGTATGTTCTTTTAAAGGCATACTACTTAAGGGGGATGGCAAGATATAGGCTAAAAATTTATAAATCATCCCTTAAGGACTTTAAATCTTCCAAAGAGTGTGCAAAGGATATGAACTGCTGCTCCACTCTCAACATTGAGAAATCGATTCACCTACTACAAAATGTGATAACACAAAATGATGCTAAAAGACGGGCGAGGAGACAAGCTGAGTACACTTCTACCCTTCTAGATAGATACAAACTAAAGCCAAGGTTGTTAACTATTCAACTTATATCAAGAGAGCACACTGAAGAAGTGATCCCCTTGGAAAATAATAGCAATGGTGTTAAGTGCCTCAAGGGGGGTTCCACCGCGGAGGAGCCAAGTACGGGGTGTGCATCTGGGGGGTGGAATTCTCCTTGTGAGGAGAGGAAATACCTACGGCATTTCGCTCAAGGGAGAACCCATCGAGAGGTGGATGATGGGGGGACTGCGCCGGGGCGAAAAAGCACTAGCGTGGAGGCGGCGTCTGAGGGGGAACACAACAATGTGCGGCATAGGGACAGGGACATCGAAAGGGATAGCCAGATGGATAGACGTATGCATAGCCACATAGATAACCACGCGGATAGCCACCACGACACGGACAGCAGCCTCACGCTGAGCGATAGCACCGCGCTGAGCGACGTGGAAGAAACGAAACCGCCCCTGCTCACCATGTCCAGCGGACGAAGCATCGGGAAAAACAAAATTAAAAATAAGATAAACTTCGAGCTTCTTTGGAATTCAAATGAAATAAAAAGCAACTTCAAAAAACAAATCGATATTCTCAAAACTGCTTTTTTGGATGAAGGCATATTCGAGTTCAACCTCGATAGGGACATTTACGTAGATATACTCGACTCCCTGTTTAAAAATAACTTCCTGTCCTTATTTGAAAATGTGGATAATGAGGAGGGCATAAAAATGAAGTTGCAGTATGGCGCCTGCGCAGGGCTTTCCCCCAATGCTGATGGGGAAACAAAACTAACTGCCCAGTCACCTTCGAACGGCGAATTGGCTAATGTACAAGAAAGGGAAGATGCGGTAGAATTGCTAAACTGTGCCGAGTGTGTGGTGCTCATAGACATATTGTACAGCCTCACCAACGGTGGAAAAGAAAACTATGTCCTCCTCTTTGTCGACAAAAAGGAAAGAACATTGTTGCTAACGTTTTACAACTTTATTTTGAGGTATACAAATGTGTTCCTCTGCAATGAAAACTGCCTAAGGGAGAAGACTCTTCTGTTGAAGGGGTTGCTCGAAAGGATATCTTAAAAATGCTTGTACTTAAAAATGCGTGTACTTAAAAATGCATGTACTTAAAAATGCGTGCACTTAAAAATGCATGTACTTAAAAATGCGTGCACTTAAAAATGCATATATGCCTAAACACACACACGTTTAAAAAAAAAAAAAAAAAGCATTAAAAATGAAGTACCTTTCTCCCAATTATGTCAAAAGATAGCTAAATGCAAAGAGGTAAAAAAGGAGAAAAAAAAGGTAGACGAAAAATTTTAATTAAACCGCATATCTATATGCATGTGCCTACTTGTACGCAGCCGTTCACATGCATATGCATCGAAAGAAAGACATACACATAAATATATAAATCACTACTTATTCAGTTAAAGTGGAAATTTTAATTAGGGGAGACGTAAATGCATGCGCAACACATTTAGGTATCATTCATATTTAAAATGGGGACACATGTGGGTACACATGTCTAGAGGGGTGTGGATATAGGAAAAGAGACGAAAATTCGCTCTGGCACTTTGAAAAAAAGAGAAAAAAAAAAACGAGAAAGCCAAAATGGGGGATAATCACATATACGTAAAAATGCGCAAATAAGTCATATATGGGGCCTACGGCCTGCACACATGTGCGGGCATGTATACATGCACATATATGCGCACTTCTAAAGGGTGAGTGCCCGCCCACATAGGCACCTAACACACGCGCAAGCGCACCGAAGCTACATAAAGGTACACTTTTTCTTCTTCTTCTTACTATTGGAAAGGGACGTATTGGACTTGACACAATGCGTGTTATTTTTGGCACTAGTCCTATCATAATTCCTCAAATAAATGATGGAACGGTTTAAATTTTTTTCCAAATTTTTCTGATTCGATAGGCACCTAAAATTGTTATCATAGTAGGAGGTGTCATTATCTACGTTGTCAAATAATTCCCATGTACAACTCAAATGTAGAAAGGAAATGTCTGCAGCTAGCAGGAACAATTTATTTTCATATTTGAAAAGAGTGTTAAAATGGTTATTCCTGAAAAAGGCTACAAGTTGATTTGGGTTCAAATTTTCTCGCAATAATTTCAACCCAACTAATGTCAACTGAGTTTTGTACGTTTCCAGAAATTCGGAAATAATTATCGCTTCGTGAATTTCGTATGGAGTTAAATCTATATCTGTGTTGTAATTTTTCATAATAAAATTTTCACTATTTTCTGTGCAATTATCTGCTATGTCTGCATTTGCCGTTTCGCTAGTTAAGCTAGCTATTTTGTTGGATTCCATAAACAGTTCATTATTTCTGATAGCTTTTTCGTCCAAGGCGGATTTCTTCGATCTACCCTGGATATTCCCCTCAGAAAAGTATTCAATTGGAATTAGACTGGTGGAGGTGGTCGGCAGGGGGTCCTCCGGAAATTTGGGCGTTGTTACCATGTTCACATCGCCGCTGCTTTCATCACTGCTGCTGTTATCACTGTTGCTGTTATCACTGCTGATGGGGCTAACAACACTGGCAATGGTACTGATATTTACATTAGCGCCAACAGTGGCGTTCCTATTGGCGTTGTTTTTTTTTGCAGAGGAGGCCAAATTGCTTGGCGTTTTACCTTGTTTGACAAAAAATTCATCCGACTTGGGCCCCGTTTCGGTGCGGTACTTATTTGTACCTTTTTCCAAATCTATAGAGGATGGTTGCTTCAAGTTAATCACGTTGCTGTGAGTTCTCCTCTTACTGCTACACGCACCTCCACTTGTGCTTTTTTTGCCAAAAATTGTGTTCTTTTTTTTTGTTGTGTCTGCATCGAATGTAGAGACAGTACTAATGTGCAAAGAGGAGCTGTCTTGATATAATGTTGCTTTGAAATTTTCTTCTGAAATTTGATCAAGGTCATCTGGAAAGATGGGTATACCATTTATACTCTTTTTTTTATCAATCTTTTCTGTACTTTTGCTTGTTCCTTTGGCTAAGTTGACGGTGTCATCGTTGGGGACACCTTTCTGATCACTGTTGGAGGCTTCTCCTGGGTTATTTGTCGGGCCATCCATGAGCGCATCGCTCTCGCAGGGTTTTCCCAAATCGCAGTCGTCCCTTTTTTCCTCCTTCACATCCAGCAACTGGTACAGACTGCTGGTTTTCTCATTGGACGATTCGTCTGCGTTTTTTTTCTTCTTCCTCTCGTAGTATTCATTATATCTCACAATTTTATTTATTATCACATTGTAGGAATAATCCTTTAAGTAGGAGTAAAACATCACATCGTCCGACGAAATAACCCAACCATGATATAATGGGATGTTGAGCATGTCAAAAATGCACAACCCTTTGGTGTACTCAAATGAATGAATATTAGTAAATTTACAATTAACGTCTAGTCCGTATTTTAACTGGGGTAATATATCAACACACTCGATTATATTTTTCCTATAATTACACGACGCGGTGTTATCGGTGACATTCTTCTTATTGGATTCTAACAGTATGTGCATAATTTTACTTTCGAGGAAGCTTTGGGATATTTTTTTAATTTTCTTGTCAATCTGTAACTGGTTACGTAGGAGCAGAATGTTCGCAATGCACAGAAGAGGACATGGTCCGCTTTTATTTTGCAGCAAAATTGGTACTCTCCTGTTTATGAAGTTAATCCATTTGACGCTATAATAGTTTATGTTTTCATTTTCGTAGTTGACAATTTCGTATATTTTGTCGTATTTTTTTAGTACATAGGATTTGAACGTCTCGTAGTCGGCGCACCGAATGATCATATTCTCTTCTTCGTCATTGTTCTCGTCATAATGCAGTTTGATCATAGTTGTCATTTTTCCCGTTTCTTCCTGTCAGGAGAGTTCATTCCTCTGGCCTGCCTACGCGGCTCATAATATGCCACGTTTCTGGGAGGGGGCTTCACCTTTTTGAGGTGGCTTCAACCGTTGCGAGGTAGCTTCACCGTTGCGAGATAGCTTCACCGTTGCGAGATAGCTTCACCGTTGCGAGATAGCTTCACCGTTGCGAGATAGCTTCACCGTTGTCAGGTAGCTTCACTGATGGCGAGCAACGCAACGCTGATAAGACGCGATGGTGGACCCAAGACGTCCTCGGAGACACGAAAGGTTCAGAGGAACGCGGCGGAAAAAACTAGTCTCTAGTCTGACCTCACAGACTACCGTAAAAGGTGGAAAAACGAAAAAAAAAAATCCCCAAGCTATCTTTCACGTACATCTACATCACAAAAAAAATATGAGAAAAAATGGGGGGCGCAACGGGAATTTATTTGAAGAGTTCGTTAAAACATGGTTCCACAACTAATCAAAAAAAAAAAAGAAAAAAAAAAATGGAAACATATATATATGTACATACAGTCGCGTAGGAGAAGGCACGATGACAAGTGAACTGATGAACGGGTGGGAAAAAACTTTAATTTTTTATATAAAGGGGAATGGCATGGCACAAGTCCTGCAGGTCATCAGGCAAATGGCGCAATGCAAACACGACATAAGCACCATTCTTTCTCTGACGAGCGAAGCTGAACTGCAACAAAGGCGGCCATATGTATTATTATATATATACAATATTATACGTACGTATGCAAATTTGAAACGCTTTAAAATTGGGGAAAACGGGCCCAACCGAACTTGTTACGCAAAAGTGCGAGTTGCAAAAAGGGCAGCCGAAGCGGGAATTATTTCTTTCAGCGTATAAACAAACACGCTGTGAGATGCAAAAAATATGGGGAGGGGTCGCAGATATACCATATGATATAAAACATACAAGTGCCGAAGTATGCGCTTGATGTGGCACAATGTACGTACAAGTAGGCATACATATATGTATATATAATATATATATGTATATATAATGCACTGTGCTTTCATATGCGAATGGGTATATTAACATTTTGTAGCTTCACCTTTACAAATAGAATGAACAGCCATTTATTTGGCTATGCGCAACTTCATGTTCCATTTGTATATTCATGAAGAATACTTCCCCACTAGACGTCCTTGTAAAAGCAGGTCAATGCAATAACTCACGTAGCACAAAAAAAAAAAAAGGCGCATTGTGTTTCTTATCGCGTATATAAAAACAGCACTCATTTCAACTCCATGAGGAAAGGAATAAATGGATGTTCCCCACGGGATGTTATTATGATTAAAGTAAAAGGGAAAATACCCAATTTCGCCATTTTCCTGGTTAACATAATTAAAACAGCGGAACATGCGTGAAAGAAAAACAAACCGAAGAAAATGCTGATGTACTTCTTTCGCACAAATGGAAGGGCTACATTATGCATAGCGTATGGCATTTATATACCCACTTCCACACGTTCACATTTCTGTTTTCTGCGCCACCTGATCGTTGAGCGTCTCTGCCAGGAAAAGGGTCAAATGTATAATTTTAAAAGCGGAGAATTGCTTCAAACAGACGGGTGTTACATTCCTCCCCCCCAAATGGAGTTAAACAAACTCTTCACTTCCTTTTGCGCAACATTCCGTGTAGAAATGTACGTTGTGTGCATATGCATGGGTCATATTTGCTAGGAGACCCTTCCCATCGACGCAGTTTCTGGAGAAAGTGAAAAATATGGCTCAGTGGTGTAGCATGTGAACATTTCGGGAAGACGCAAAATGGTGTTTTTTTATGAGAAAGGACTTCGTACCGTTTTTATTAAAAACGGCTTCGTGGCGTCAGAAGGGATAGACAGTCAACGTTCCGCCCTCCCCTTGGATATAAAGAAAACACTGCTGAATGAGTTGATGCGGAATGAGTTCATGCTGAAATTTCAGGCGTATTTCCTCTCCGACGTTGCTCGCAAGGCGAAGTGCGACGGGGATATAGTTACATGCAGCGGTTCAAAAAATGGGTTAATTAAAGTTAGGGTTTTCAAATGCGAGTGTAAAGTTTTGTGCAAATGTGGTAATTGGGGAAGGTTGGGGTGCCGCGCACAAACGGGGTATTTTTTTCGCAAAGGGGAACATACATCGAGGCGTCGTGTGTAAGCAGGTCCGCAAAAAGAAAAAAAAAAAAGAAAAAACGCATAGGTTTACACGAACGTTGGGATAAATGATCTCTTTGCTTTATGGGAGAAACGAGTTGCATTTGTGAGCAGCCTCACCAATTCGTACGAAAAAAAAAGAAAAAAATGCGAATGGTGAAACGTTCGGAGGGCGCTCCCGTGTGATGCCAAGAGGGGAGTGCTTTTACAGTGCATGCGCACATAGGTGGTGATGTGATATGGGTTATGTAGACGGGTCACATCCAATCCAGCACTGCCCGCTTTCGGTCCTATACATCTAGAATCGTAGTTGATCTTACCGATCTGGCCTGGTCTCCCCCCGAAACTCCTTTCGCATCATCATCTTTGCCAAGTTGGTGAACCTAGTTAAGGGGCATCGATTTCGCCGTGCAGTAATTTTCACTGGCGGTTGCATTAAAGGACTCGCCTAGCTCATCGGACGAGTTCTTTTGCGAGTTATCTAAGTGCTTATCTGCCGCATCAGCCTCCTCCTCAACCCCCGCTTCTGTGTTAACCTTTGGCACTACTTCTGTTGTTGGTACTACTTCGCTTGTTGGCACTACTTCTTCTCTTGTTGGTACTATTTCTTGGCTCGTTGGCACTAGTTCTTCTCTTGTTGGTACTACTTCTTGCCTTGTTGATGTGGCGGACGACGATTTACACTTCCTTAATGTGGCCAGGTTTATAAGTGCATTATTTTTGACACTTGCCATTTTTATTAAATCGGCGGGTCTTAAAGAATTGCTCAATTTTTTGCGATTATTGGCACATGTTTTTATGTACTTTGGCAGGGTGTTAAAATTGCCAGTTAGATAATTTCGTCTTTCCTCAAGTGTACCTGCTGGAAAAATTGTACTTTCCCTTTGAGTGCCATGGAAATTTTGAGAGAGACTATGCCTTTTCTGTTGCTCATTTACGTTGATGCTTCTTCCCCTGGTAAAGATGTGACTCCCTCCGCCCTTGCAAGCAAACGGTGCGTTCGAATTGGAGAACGGGTTTTTTGTCTGTCCCATGCAGTTCATCGGAATGGTAGAACCTAAATTTGACATGGATGTACCCAACTCCATCGGTAGGGAATATGCAGTTCCCATTTTACTGTTACTATATTGCAAATTATACGTGTTGATAAAATCCGTTTCCGTCATGGATTCTTCATTCTGATTATGACGGATACACTTCTGGACGGAATTTGTCATATGGCTAAGCAGCCCAGGGAACTTTGAAAAGGGTATCATATTTATTAAATTTTGGGTAAACATTTTCGAAAGTGCAAAACAGTATTGCTTAAATGTGTAATTCTCTCTGTCCATATTCTCTATTGTTTCTCCAACATGTTCGCAGAATTGATTATATTTGTTTCTCATCTTTTGGATTAAGTATGGCAAATTGGAGAAGAGAAAATCATCATAATCATCATCATGAATGCTGTCACCATTTTTCGCGTGAAATCTGTTGCCAGCGTATTGTGCATGTGCCGTAACTTCGCTATCAGTTGGCACATTCAAGTTTGGCAAATTTGAATAAGCCTTTGGGATACATCTGTCTCTTCCATTTTTGTGCGGAAATGTGGGTAACGATAAAACGGTAGCGCTTTTTCCCGCCTTTTTATTCTTCCTTTCCATTTTTTTTCTGTGGTATTTTATAAACACGCTGCGTATGCCCTCATAGATGGGAAAAATATGAATGCCCGAAATTATGCTATGCAATTTTAAATATTCTGGCCACCTCAATATGGTGTTTATTCCTAATGGGGGGTAATTTAAATGGATAGCGTTCGAGCTGCTGTTAACAACGGCTGCATCGTTTGTGTGTCCCTCCTTTTCGTTCCCATCGCAAAGCCTATCTAGCATCTCATTCATGGTATCTATAAACCAAAGACCTGTTTTTCGCGTGTTTCCCATTTGTGCCATTTTGTATTCCGTCCTATGGAGCCAATCAGCGCTATCGCTTTTATCAAATTTTACTTTCCCCCCACTGGGGCACTTTTCAAATCTGCGACTACTTCCTCCACTTTTTAGGCTACTTTTCTGATGCCTGAAGTGACCCTCCTCGCATGATTTTTCGCTAGTAACGGATTTCCTTCTACTATATCTCACACTTTTACCCCTATCCATGTCGCTGCCAAACTTTCCATCGTAGCTGCTGTCGTCTTCCAAATTTCTTAAAATGTTCTCCTCTAAATTTCTGCTGGTTAGTGTAAGCACATGGTTGCTTCTGCCACTCTTGTACGTGTTTGGACTATGGGTGACTCCATGCAAGGGGTAGGCCGACCCCACTGGCTTTGCTTTTCTCACTTGTGACTGAGAATTTTCACTTCTGTCCGAGTAGGAATAGCAATTTTTATCATCATTGAAAAAGTCACTCTTCTCTTCCGAACTCTCCATAATTTTGTTATACTCATCTTCTCTCATTTTTTTTCTTTTTTCTCTCTCTTCGAAAGAGTCACCAATGGAATCGTTACTTTGCAGGAAATTGTAATTGTCGGAAAGGTCTCCAAAACTTCTAGACTCTTTTTTCCTCTCTCCATATGGGTTAATTCCCGACGTCATTTCCTTGGACATTCTACTTTCGCTGTTACCTCTCATCGTATAGGACTTGTCAGTGTTTTCGATTTATTAATTAATTTTATTTTCCACCGTTTTGTAGGGATCTTTAATTTATTCCCTGCAGAAAGGAGAATGGTGTTTTCCCCTCACTTTTTCACCTCAATGCATACGCATCGTATGCCATCTGATACGGCCCACTGGAGCAGTTCAGAAATGGATGATCTTGCGCTTGCTCATGCGCATTCACATCCGCATAAAATGCCTCGCATTAAATTTTGGCGAAACGATGTGCACGAATGGGCGCCAATCTCAGGACCGATAATGTTCTCCCCCCTCAATGGGAACACACGCCTATGGAATTTTCGGGCAAATACAAAGAAGGAGGTGCAGCCCACAAATGGGGTGAGAGAACTACAGGCGAAAAAAAGGTGTGATAAAACGATAATCAAATGAAACAGGGCCCTGGTAAAAAACTCTTAATTTCTAGGTAAATGTATTCACCTAAATACGTATGTATGTACTTTCTCATCCAGTCTATTCCGTTCTAGCGGCGTTGCTAATATGGCAAGGGAGAGGGGACTCTCATATGGGGAAGTGCCTACGACTATTCCCTTACAGTTGAATGATGCAGACAAGAGAAAAAAAATAAAAAATAGAACGAATTGCAACTAACGCAATGATGAATAACGTGTCAACGCTGTACGTACTCGAGTTAATAATTTATTCATTTTTCTTAAATTTGTGCTTGCTCGTGAAACATATATGTGCACACACGCATGCATATCTATGTTACTGGCTTACGTTTTGTTCATTTGCGACGTTACATTGAAATGGGCAGAATAAATCTCGCGCGGTGAATAATGGCGAAGGCTTCTATACAAGTAGCTGCGACACTATGCGTACAAGCACCTCTCTCCAACGTAGTAGTCGACATAAATTGCACGAACCTGATGATCAGCGGAGGGGCACAAAAAATATATATATATCTCCGCACTTAACGACGGACAGGTGCTATCACATGCAGGTAAAGCATCAACAGGGGGGGTATCAGATATATACGTCCGTTATACGTATTTTGGACTAGCTGCAGCAAGAAAGTAACGTAACATGGACCGTCACCAATTTGGCCTTTTTTCCAAAAATCCTTCTTTGTCTTCTGCGAGCTTATGTTGGGAAGGGCGCTAAGATATGCCCTTGCCCGTATGAAGGTGATAAAGCGAAACGGTGGTAAAGCGAAAAAGTGAAGAAACGAAAAGGTAATAAAGCCTAACGGTGACAAAATAAGAGCTGCGAAAACACAAACTCGTCATGGTCTTCTCTGCGGGGCACGCTTCTTTTCCCCCTCCCCCCAAAAGTAGTAGTTCCAATAAAAATTAAAAAAAACAATTCTTCGCATGTAGAAGCTGAGATAATGAGAGTAAAAGCATTAAACATTAATTTGCTTGAAAAAAAGGCAAAAAGGCTCTAAAAATACACGCACACACGTAAGTATGCATATATATGTATATATGTGCATACATGTGTGTACGGTGTATTCACCAGGAGAGGAAAAAAAAAATTAACCATGCGGGGAGGCAAAATAGTTTCCGCTTTAACGCGACATTTGTGCAAACTTCCCAGCGCGTGGAGGTGCTCGCACGTTCTCTCACATGGGAACATAACGCGGTTAAGGGAATAACTTCATTTTAAACTTCCTCATAATCTATGTGTGCCAAAGGAGTATATAGCGCATATACTATATCCATTCTGGTATGTTCAAAATGCGGGTTAAAAAAAAAAAAACTGAGGCCATTTTAACTCTACAAGAAAATTGTGTTTTTTACTTGCATTTATAGGGATACATGTACAGGTGTGCTCATTTTATTTTTTTGTTTTTTTTTTTTTTCCAAGTAGCCACTTCAGCTACATCAGCCACATTTTGTGTGAACTCAAAAATGAATTCCCATTTTTGGTCTGTGGCATTAAGCACATTTATTAAGGGGTCATTTGCTTAAAAAGAAGAATTGCGCTATACTTCGACATATGCACATGCAGAAAACCATACACATGCACATTCCTAGGCATGCAGTTTATGCCAACGGGGAAGGACGGCGTTGCGCAACGTTGTTCTTGCACTGTAAGAGGAATTAAAGCAAAGCGGACGGGGTTAAATCGTTCATCTCGAATGCGGCGGGGAGGAAATAAGGTCAATGTGGCAATGTTGCAATATGGGAATATCGCAATATGGAAACATCAGAATATGGAAACATCGCAATATGGAAACATCGCAATATGGAAACATCGCAATATGGTCAGGTTTGCTTAAACAAGAAAATAAAACAAATCGAAATGGATAGAAGCCAAATAAAACAAACCAAGATGACACAAGGGAAAAAGCGAAAAAACGAGCGAATGAAAGAACGGCAACGGCACCCAGTATTTCAAAACAACTGACACGTCTCCTTTAAGCAGCGCATTTACACACATTCCAAGGAGCAGGATAGGTCAAATTAACAAACAAATTTTTATTCAAAGATATAAGGGCATCAATACGCTTCTGCATAACGTCGCTGTTTAACAAACGAATAAAAATAAGCAAAGAGGGGAACAAATGGTATTTAAATATTTTTACTGCACAGACCCAATGTAGTGCAATTTA